ATGGTATAATATACTTTTAAAAAAATTTAAATTAGTAATAATCGATGGCAAAAATAATAATCATACGATATAAATAAATATAATATATAATTACTTGTAATCTAGTTAAAAGGAACCAATATTCTGCAAGGATTTGTTTTAGCCAAAAGTCATGCTTGATATTTTCTAGCCCAATGCTACCTTTTTTGATAAACGGATTTGTGAATCCCCAACATATTGCAACTTGATAAGTGTTCAATGAAAAAAATGATTTTTTTTTTGTTAATCTTTAATTAGCGATAAAAAAAATTTTTTTTTTTTTTTTTGAAACCAATCACCAATCAAAAAAAAAAGAATTTCCATTCATTGATACCTAAAAAAAATCCAAAAATATTTTCTTACAGAAAAAAAAAATTTTTTTTTTGTTTGAATTATTAAAAAACAATCAAAACGATTATTACCGAAATGACGTAAAATGTAATAGTTACTGATTAACAAATCACCATTGATTTCGTCCATTGATATTACAGTATTACGGATAAGTGCGTTTACCATATCAAATATACCCGGAAATTATATAAATAGCGTTAATGATCGATCATTTCTATTATTATACATATGAAAAAGGGGTCTGCAGATAACGATAAAATATTTACAAATTCGGCCGCCTCATGTAACATCCCCTAAATTGGTTTGTACAACTAGTGATTTTTATTATGTAGTATGTCGAGGACACACCGAGAAGGACAATATCGCTATTAAAAATCTTTAAGGAATATCCCATATCCTTTATTGTCTTATGACATAATGATAGCCTCTATAATTCAAAATTTTTATTATTTAAACAACTACAATTATGATGTTTTTGTCTTTTATTTTCATCTTTGAAAGTTTTAAAAGTTTCGAAAGATGGAAAAGAAAATCGACTTTAAACTTACAAAAGACGATTCGGAAAATGCTTCTACCTCTAGAATTAGACCTATAAACCTAGAAAGACGAAAATCTCAACTTAGTATTGAATATAGAACTCTTTCTATAAAACTTGAAGAATCTCGTACAAAAACTTTGGAAGAAAATGATAAAGATCCTAGAATAAAAAAAGAACTTGAAATTGATTTTCATAAATTATCTCTTCATGAACTCGGTTTACGTTTCAACACTGATACTTCTTCAGGTCTTAATTTTGAGATCGCTACTCAAAGATTACAACGTACTGGAAAAAATATTATAAGTCCTCCTGAATCTAAATTATTTAAAAAAATTCTTTATTACTTTTTTCAAATTATCAAAGACTAGGCGACCACTTTCTAGAGCAACTACTATTGATGAAAAGTTATTATCCAAAAG